AAGTGTGGTAATAGGTGAGTTTATAGCACTTTTACTATAAAGATAATCGCAACATTATATTCTGATCCTCAGTCTTTACTTAAATGTCCTTTAAAGTATTCAAAAATTTAAAGAATAATTGAGGAGAGAGATTTTAAAAGAAAAAGGGCCAAATTTACTTAAAAATAGGAGAGCTTGATTCCCAATCCACAGAACTGCATTTCTGGGGACATACTATTTGTATGGAACATCTCATTGAGGTTTGCAAAGTGTGACTCTTATTAGCACACTAAAAGGATAATACTAATGTTGTCTGTAACTGGAAAAATAAAAATAAAAATATAATTCTTAAGGCACAACTCGAGTTATTCTTGGAAAATTATTAAGTCATTTGTCTGATATTTCTTTCATAAAATATAGTATATACTGTCTTGGTGCTTCTATAGAGAAAATAATAAGATAAATAAGGTTATTAAAAGTCTGACAGGGCAGTAACATGCAAATATAAATACTTTTTATTTTCTTTAAGTATCAACTCCTTAGTGTAGATGTGCATTATGGTTTAAACAAAAAGGTTATAAGAATTTCCTAAAGCTTCTTTGAATGTCTTTTCCAATATTAACTATCAAAAGGAAGAAAAATAAATATTCATAATATAGGACCTCACTCTCATATCCTATTTAAATTGACAAAGGCACAGAAGCAGATTTTCTAGTTAGTGCTTTGGACTAGTTTTGATGATTGTTAACTTTTACATGCAAAAAAATATATACTCAAGTACCTTCATCATTCTCCAGTTATTCCATGCATTTCTCAACATAACTGAAAGATGCATTCCTGAAAATTGTCTGTACATGCTGAATAGAAAGCATAAATTCCCAGTGACTACTATATGCATTAGAGATATGCATACACGAAAGGTTTCAGTCTCACAGAAGCATAAGATGTTTTCTGTTTCAGTTGGAAGCCTCCATTGCCAGAGCTATGTCATGTACATTCATGTTAACATCCAGCAGGACAGTTAGAAATGTGAACACTCCAGGTAAACATTTTGGAAAAAGCATACTTCTTTTTTATTGTGCATATGAAAAAAGTCTCCAGAATGAGAGTACAATCTGGGAGCATTTAGATCTACTGAGATGGAGAGAGGAATATCCCTTGCTTTGATTCCAGTTGTCTCTACTGTTCTCTTGATTATTCTTTTGCAAGCAAAATTCTCCCACTAAGGCAAGTAATATCCCGAAGTTACTATTTTTACCATTTTATTTGAATTAATTATTAACCCAAGGAGATAGTTTGGCTGTGGATAAGAACTCAGGCTTTAGATAAAGATTGACATGGATGTGAATTGTGACTCCCACAATTACTTTAACTGCAAGTCATCAGTGACTTGTTCAATCTTTATCAGTATCTTCTTATCTTAGAAATACAGATGACAATGACTAACTCACAGGTTTACTGTGACAACTAAAGAAAGTGATATGAGTAATCCAATAAATGTTTGCTATGACTACTATGGCATTTTTTAAAAGATTAACTCATTTATTTGAAAGAGAAGAGAGACAGAGATCCTCCATCCACTGGTTAAACCCCAAGATAGCCACAACGGCCAGCACTGGGCTGGGCCAGGCCACAGCCAGGAGCTTCCTCTGGGTCTCCCACATGGGTACAAGGGCCCAAGCATTTGGGCCATCTTCTGCTTTCCCAGGTGCATTAGCACGGAGGTGGATGAAAAGTGCAGCAGCCAGGACTCAAACCAGTGCCCTAGTGGGATGCGGCATTGTAGGCAGCATCTTTACTCACTACGCCAAAACACCAGTCCCTATCATGGCATTTTAGAACTGAACAATGAATTAGAAATCATCTAGGCAATCCAACAGCTCAACCAAGGTGAGATTGGATTCTCTTAATTCCTAGCATAGGAATCTATGCATTCTACCAAACTAACACCTTACACAAAAATCCACTCAACATGGATTAAAGACTTAAATCCATGACCCGACACCATCAAATGATTAGAGAGCATTGGAGAAACCCTGCAAAATACAGGAACTGGCAAAGACTTCCTAGAAATGACCCTGGAAGCACAGGCAGTCAAAGCCAAAATGAACAATTGGTATTGCATCAAATTGAGAAGTTTCTGTACTGCAAAATAAACAGTCAGGAGAGTGAAGAGACAACTTACAGAATGGGAAAAAATATTTGCAAACTATGCAACAGATAAAGGGTTGATAACCAGAATCTACAAAGAGATCAAGAAACTCCACCACAACAAAACAAACAACCCACTTAACAGATGGGCTAAGGAGCTCAATAGACATTTTACAGAAGAGGAAATCCAAATGGCCAACAGACACAGGAAAAAATGTTCAAGATCACTAGCAATCAGGGAAATGCAAATCAAAACCACAATGAGGTTTCACCTCACCCCGGTTAGAATGGCTCACATTCAGAAATCTACCAACAATAGATGCTGTCGAGGATGTGGGGAAAAAGGGACACTAACCCACTATTGGTGGGAATGCAAACTGGTTAAGCCACTATGGAAGTCAGTTTGGAGATTCCTCAGAAACCTGAATATAACCCTACCATTCAACCCAGACATCCCACTACTTGGAATTTACCCAAAGGAAATTAAATTGGCAAACAAAAAAGCTGTCTGCACATTAATGTTTATTGTAGCTCAATTCACAATAGCTAAGACCTGGAACCAACCCAAATGCCCATCAACAGAAGACTGGATAAAGAAATTATGGAACACGTACTCTATAGAATACTATACAGCAGTCAAAAACATTGAAATCCGGTCATTTGCAACAAAATGAAGGAATCTGGAATTAAGCCAGTCCCAAAGGGACAAATATCATATGTTCTCCCTGATCGGTGACAACTAACTGAGCACCAAAGGGGAAACCTGTTGAAGTGAAATGGACACTATGAGAAACAGTGACTTGATCAGCCCTTGTCCTGATTGTTGATGTACAATTTAATACTTTATCCCTTTTAGTATTTTTTTTGTTCTAGTGAATACTATTGATTGAACTCTGTAATTAACACACAATTATTCTTTGGTGTTGAAATTTAACTGAGAAGTGATCCCTGTTAAATATAAGAGTGGGAATAAGAGAGGGAGGAGATGTACAATTTGGGACATGCTCAATCGGACTTGCCCCAAATGGTGGAGTTCAAAATGTGCCAGGGGATTCCAACACAATCCCATCAAGGTCGCATGTACCAATGCTACCTCACTAGTCCAAGTGATCAATTTCAGTTCACAATTGATCACACTGATAGGTCTAAGAGTCAAAGGGATCACACAAACAAGACTAGTGTCTGCTAATACTAACTGAGAGAATCAAAAAGTGAGAGAATAATCCATCATGGGAAGCGGGATACACAGCAGACTCATAGAATGGCAGCTGTCCTAAACATCTCTCTGGCCTCAGAATCAGTCCTTAAGGCATTCGGATATGGCTGAAGAGCCCATGAGAGTATTTTAGGCATGGAAAGCCAAGACACTCTGGGGGAAAAAAAAAAAAACCTAAATGAAAGATCTCTGCGAGTGAGATCCCAGTGGAAAGAATGGGGCCATCAAATAAGGAGGTACCTTTCTCTGAAGGGAGGAGAGAACTTCCACTTTGACTAGGACCCTGCCGGAATAAGATCGAAGTTGGCGAACCCAAAAGGCTTCCATAGCCTTGGCAACTCATGACTAGAGCCTAGGGAGATTACTGATGCCTTAAACAAGAGTGTCCAATTGTTAAGTCAACAACAGGAGTCAGTGTGTACTTACTTCTCATGTGGGATCTGTCCTTAATGTGTGTCCAATGTGAAGTAATGCTATAACTAGTACTGAAACAGTATTTTTTCACTTTGTGTTTCTGTGTGGGTGCAAACTGATGAAATCTTTCCTTAATATATACTAAATTGATCTTCTGTATATAAAGATAATTGAAAATGAATCTTGATGTGAATGGAAGGGGAGAGGGAGTGGGAGATGGGAGGGTTGTGAGTGGGAGGGAAGTTATGTGGGGGAAAGCCATTGTAATCCATAAACTGTACTTTGGAAATTTATATTTACTAAATAAAAGTTAAAAAAAAAGAAAAATTATTTTTGTCAAGAAATAAAAGTAGCAATAAAGTGCTCTAGATTAAGAAGAAATGGTCCCTGGGCGTTCATGCAGCAAGATGACTCACACGCTTTATCTAAAAAAATGAGGACAACCATATAAAAGTCATGGTCATGATCTTAAAGACTTTTTTTTTCCTTATGACTGCAACGAATTTCAAGATAAAGATATGTGATTCTTCTAATTGTAGTAACATATAGGAAGTGCACTATTTATGTTGAATGAAATGTAAAGTATCCTAACCTAGGCAATAACAAAGTAAATATTCCTAAGAACATACTTTATAATAAATGAAAAGTAAAAAAATTAACCTAAGTGTTCATTAAGAGATGAATATGCGAATAAAATATGACAGTCACATACTGGAAGATTATTAGTAACTAAAGTAATGAATTAGGATATATGTTTCAACATGGACAGATTTTAAAAATAGGAAGTTATATTTAAAAAGTTACAGAAAGAGTGATATAGTAAAATACCATTTATGCAAACTCAAATATGTAAAATATAATTCTATTGATACACATGTAGAAATTTAACATATTAAATGATTGGCTTTGAAACACACCAAGTTCATTAACATTTTTGTCACAGTGAAAAGGAAGGAAAAATCCCAAGGAAATACTTTGTATAGACTATATATATGTGTATATATATATATGAAACATATATATATGAAACCGAGACAATGGGAATGACAAACCTGTATTTAAGCCTCAGTCAATACAGGTTTTCCATGGACTATCTTAGGGCACAAATAAAACTATATCTACAATTACTATCTTTCAGATTGAGTGGATTTACTTTAAATCTCCGTGAATGACAGGACCAAGTGAATGACAGGACATCAGCTCAAGTTAACGCCGAAGACCGGAGACAGAGAACACTTACTGGTAAGTGGTTGGGCTCACGTTGATGCGCCGAGGGTGACTTCCCGACTCAAATTTGCTCGCCAGAGTGACGTTATTTCCAAACAGGCAATATCTTGGCATTCTCACTCCAACAACTCCAGCCAGCACAGAGCCGGAGTGAATGCCTATCCTCATCTAAAAAAAGTGAAAAGGCAAAAACATTTATTTTCATTACGTATCCAATTATTTTAATTAAAGTTATTGCTAATTAAGTAATTTAAATAGGAGCTCCTCAAAGATAGAAACTGAATGTTGGTCATTTTTAAAGATTTATTTATTTATTTTATTGAAAAGACAGAGTTGGGTTGCAGGGTTGGGGTGGAGAAATAGAGAGAACTTTCATCCACTGATTTATTCCCCAAATGGCCACAACAGCCAGGGCTAGGCCAGGCAGTAGCCAGGAAGCTGGAACAACATTCTGATCTATTTACATGGGTGGTAGGGTGCTAAGCACTTGGGCCATCATCTGTTGCCTTCCCAGGCACATCAACAGGAAACTGGATTAGAAGCCAACCAGCTGGGACTTGAACCAGCACAACACTATCCAGCAACCTGACATGGGATGCTTGTGTTGCAAGCTGTGGCTTAATCTGTTGTTCCATAACACCAGCCCCTATGTCTTAGAAATCTTTATAAGCCTAATATCTGGACCATGATAGTACTTAATGAACATGAATACTGTTAAATAAGTGAGTGAATGAATTACTTATTTGAAAAATTGGTGTTTGTTCATAAACATGATTGTTACTGGTTGAATCAGGTTTCATTTTCATATACTCTGCTCTACTACATGAAAATGTATTTTCCAATTTCTTCCTCTGATTACTCTCATATAAAACTCTGCTTTCCCCTTCATAACATTAAATGTAACTCTAAATTAAGTATTTGCTTATTTTGCTTAAATGTCAGTTTCCCATGTGAGAAGGGTATCTATCTATTTCCTTAGTAGTGAATATTCAGCACATAACATACAACCTAGCATCCAACAATAAGCACTGGATGTTGATTAAATCACAATTCCCCAACCTATTATTAATACAGACTTAGAATTCAACCCTTGAATCAGTCAAGAGACACTGAAAATGCTGATGAGTAAATTAAGGGCTATGTATTTACCCTATGTGAATCTGATAACTGGCCCCATCTAAGCCTTGAAGGAGCCTTCAATGCACAGTGATATAGCCTACACGTGATCAGAGTAATGAAGTGAGGTGGACATGGCCTAGACTACAAAAACTGCAGCTAACAGAGACCAAGAGGGAGCTAAAGAGAAATGGAGGTTATGCTGAAAACGAGGGAGGAGATCTGCCTCCAGGAGTCCCACCTGGTAGGCAAGCTGTCACTTCTCACTGTGTGCCTCTTGCCACTCTGTGAGGATAAAAATTCACTATGAGACCAACCTGTGTCCTAGGACTAGAGACTCCTGAAGCTATCAAACCACAATGGAACAGGTCCAACCTAACCTGATCTAGCTGCAGCTCCTAATAACATCTTCATCTGTGTTCTGAAAGCTGACTCGAAAATCTATTTGGAAAGTCAATATTGTTGAGGCATGATGCATTTGAGAAGGAAGAAAACAGTATTTATCCTATCAGATATAAAGCATTAGTATAAAGACATCTAATTAGTGTGTGGGTATCATAATGCAGAGAAATAGACTAAAGGAACAGATGCTAGATATCCCAAAGAGCTAACATTTCACACTACTGAGATAAAGATGGCTTTTCCATTACAATCTTCCTTATCAACTCTGTCTTCAACATGGCAAAAAGATACAAGTAAATTTAAGACCTTAATGTGAAAGACACAATTTTACAGCTTTAAAATGCTTATATTAATTAAGGAAATATCAATCTGCAGTATCAGTAAAATCCCCAAATATAGACACTTAAAAAGAATAGAACTGTCTTTGTCTCTCAGTAACAGTCTCCATGTGAGTAGTCCATATTGACAGGCAGCTCCATGCCCTCAGTCACCCAGGGACCAGGTCTTTTTCATCGTCTTCCTTCTCCGTGCCTTGGCACGTAATAGAAGCGCCCTCATGTTCCCATTCATGAAATTTGGGAATATAAACAGCAGAGGTCCAAGGTAAGGATCATGAAGTCATTCCCTGAGATGATCTAAGGTCTTCGTGTAGATCCATCTTTTATTTGGTATCATTTTCCTTCTGGCTGAAGGAAACATTTCTTATAAAGGAGGTCCACTGGTAATGCATTTTTTTCAGATTGTCTGTGTTTGAAAGTCTTTATTTTGTTTCTGCAAGATATTTGCATTCTAAGATGACGGCTTTTGTTACTGTTTGTCCTTTCAGTACTTGAAAGAGACAGCTCCACTGGCTCCTCTTTTGCATTATTTCCTACCAATGATCTGCTGTCCTGCTTATCTGAATTCCTTCATATGTATCACTTTCTGGCTTCTTGTAAGGTTTTTTTAGTCGCTAATTTTAAGTAATTTATAATGATTTCCCTTAGTGTTATTTTCCTTCTATTACTTGTACTTTGGGTTTGTTGAGCTCTTGAATCTGTGGACTTAGTTTTCATCAAATTTGTAAAAATTTTCAGCTGTTATTCTTGTAGATATCTTTTGCATCCACCTCTCCCTCATAGATACTCTAGTTGTGTGTTTACTAGAATGCCTGAATTATTTCCAAAGTTCACTGATGATCTTTTCATTTAAAATAATTTCTCTCTTTCTCTCTCTCATGTACTGGACATTTTTGAGCTCCATCTTCAAGCTTAATGATCTTTTCTTCTTCTGTGTCTAATCTATTATTATATCCAATATGTTTATCATTTCAGACACTGTAGTTTGCCTTTATTAGAGGTTCATTTTGAGACCTTCCTAAGAATTGTTCCAGTATCAATTTAACTGTTCTTGAACATATGAAATACAGTTAAAATAACTAGTTTAAAGCTATTGTCTGCTAATTCCAACATGTTGCAGTTATGTATCAGTTTTGATTGATTCATTGTTCTCTTTGTTATGAATCTTTTTTTTTCAGTTTTTCCTGAAACCTAGTAATTTTTGATTGGATGCAGATATCACAAATTTGACCTTGTTGAGTGCTGGATATTTATATATTCTCAGAAATATTTTTGAGCTTTGTTCTAGGATGTAGTTAACTTACTTGAAAACAGTTTGTTCCTTTCAAGTCTTGCTTTTAACATTTGTTAGTCAAGTCTGGAGCAGTGTTTCATAAAGGGCTAATTATCCCATTACTCAAGCAAGAATCTTCTGTTCATTCTCCCCAAAGCAAGACATTTACAAAGTTGTCCACTTTGTCTTAAGGAAATAGACCCTCCCCCCCAGGATCCCCCAGGTCCTGCTTGAGTAGCAGGTACATTTCTCTCTAATCCTGTGAGTGTCCCCTCAGGGGTTTAGGTAGTGTCCATCCCGCCCCAGCCAAACCCTAATCACTACTCTGCAGGATAAAGGAGGAGGACTCTGAGGAGATAGTTGGCCTGGTTTTGGTGCAGTCTTTTGGTCTGAATGGACTCTGAACTTCACTCTTTAAAGAGGATTGGTGCCTCTTGGTTTGCTCATCTCTGAACCATAGCCTGGATGTCTCCCAAGGAAGTAAGTTAGGCCAATCACAGGTCTTATCTCATCCGGATCATCATCTTCCATTGCAGTGTCTAACCTCATGAAACTGTTCTTCTGTATACTTTATCCAGATTTGTCATTTTTTAAAGATTGTATATAAATCTAGTCCCTGTACTCCATATCGGTTTTGGCTTACTTTCAGAAGGCCCATCAACACTTACCTTGTATGATATAAGCATGCGCCCAGACCTTTCATGCTAAGACGATCAGTTTGCACTTGTGATCACAGACATGGTCTTTTTAAGCAGGACGGCATGAAGGATGACCACACTGAGGCATTTCATAGCCTCTTTATTTTGTGCTTTCTGTTTCAGAAAAGACTTCAAATCCCACATCAACTATAGAAGGCTTATATATTTCTTTCTCTGCCTCCTTTCCAAAGGTCTGAGGCTTTTTTTAATTAAAATATTCAGATGAGAATGATTATAACCTGAAAAATCCTGATGATATAAACCTGATATTGTTAGGTGCTGGCAGAAAATCTATTTCTTAGAGGGTACATAAACATGTACAAGAGTATTAACTACTACAAAAATAGCACAGATCTACTGTCACTGTCACTGCCCCATAATGGACAAGGATTCAGAATTATTTAGTCTGGAAAGTGAAGACAATACTACTGGAAATCTGTAAACTGAGTCATCCGGTGCTATTTTATTCTTTTTTTATATTTCTTCTGACAATTTATTAAGATTTCTCAAGAATTGTTGCCTATATAAGGAAGTCAGCTGATTGCTTCATTCAGAATGTGTAAAGAACATCTTGCAGTTAGCCAAAATACAGATACATATAACTTCAATCAGGGTTTTAGATTCATTTAGGCAAAATTTAATTTTATTTAAATAGGCTAACCAAGCAGAGGCTACGGAAGATTACTTTTACAAAACAATGGTTCTCCAAAGGAGCATTTTGGGACCTTCGATGAACTTCTGAGGATATCTACAGACGTTTTTGGTCTTCATAACTGGGAGAGGAGCTGCTACAATGTCTACTCATTTGAGAGAATTACAGAGTCCCAAGATGATTTCCCACCAACCAAGAGAGACCTTTCCAACCCAAAATACCAGCAGTGTCAAGATGAAGAAACTGTGTGGTATCAGACCTACAGCAATCTATAAACAAAAATGCAAGTGTTTTCATCAGATCAAAGCTTAAACAAAACACACCAGACTTCACTCTTAAGAGAAAGATTATAAAAAAGAAACAATGCTTATATAAGGGATTAATTGAAACATACAATAACTCCAGGATATTAATTCTGAGATTAGAATACTTATTACCCAATTTCCTATGTCTTCCATGTATAAATTTATGCAAAACAATGGGACATTACAAAGTCCACAACTGTCAAAAAGTTGTTATTCTCACAATATTCCACTTAGTATTTATTAACCAGGGCTCACAAACAACTGTATTTTTTAAGAAAATATTTCTCCTACAACTTTTAAAAATAGGCTTATCTAGCTCCACCCAAGCTAGCCAAAACTCTCTCTAGTTCAGCAGGAAGGAATGTTAGGGTTAGGAGGGCAGCA